TGAGAGAAAGTCTCATTATGTATGCTAGGCGGGCCTAGAACTCAAGATCCTACTGCCTCAACTTCCTGAGTGCTGGGATTACAAGTGTGCACCATCATGTCCAGTTTTACCTAAAGGTCTTACTTGCTTTACCTAAGGGTCTTACTTCTATCAAGTTCTCATCAATGAACTAATTCTCTCCATCCTTTCAAAAGAGGGTTGATTTCCACAAATTCTGAGGAGTGACAAGACTCTGGCAATGAGAATAGTTGGCTTCTATGGTGTCTCCATTTTAGTTTGCCAAAACCTGGTTTTCCCCTGTTCTGTGGACTGTCAGGGCAGTAAGGGACGGGTAGATGTAGCTCTTCTTTCTCTGCTACTCAAATTTGTTCCACTCACCTACTGAAGTCCTGAGGTTGCAGGTAGACGGGGTTGAAGTGATAGATGCCAGCAGTAATGTTGGTGTAATGTCGGCTGTCTGTGTTGGCAATACAAATACCTAGAAAGGAAAGATTAAGACGGAAAAGGCTTCATGTGAGCAACCAAGTCAAGAAAGGGGGGAGGGGTGGCTGTCAAATTAGGACCCTGATCGCTATAGAACAACACCTGGGCCCTCTTTGGAGGCCATAGCTGTAGTTTTTTTTTTTTGTCTTAGCTGCCCTTTCTCAAAACCTTACAAAAAGTCATAGTTTTAGCCAGGAATATGGATTCGTCTCCTGAGGGCGCTGAATGGTCCAAAGCTAAGGGTACTTTTAGTATTTTCATTTCATCCCCATAGCCATGTCCATTCACTATTTTCGAAATCATCAATCTAGAATCACTTCTTTATCACCTGGCCTTTATTTTGTATCACTCTAGATCAGAAACCAACCCCCTCTGGGGGAAGATTGCTGCTATAAAATGCAATCCTTTCCAAATGGGACACGATCTCCCATCATTCTCATCCTCTGAGAGCTAACCCTGTCTTAGAATCAAACTTCAGGTTTGGAAAGTCCCATGACACTCTCTTCCTATTCTCTTACTCTGTCCCTGATAAGTATGTTCTTGGGAAAAGACATCTCAGAGCATCAGGATGATTTGAGATGATAATTTGTGTTTTGTTCTATTTTCCTGCTAGTTTCAAATGGGTATCCAGGCCCTTCAAAATTATGGGCTTTGTGGATTTCTGCCAATTGATTTCTGCCTATTTCCCCTCCTTGACCACCCCTGCTCCAACTCCCAGTAACCTAACCCCATTGATGGGATATGGCAACTGCCATAGAAGGGAGAGAGTAGGGTGGAAAGTTTTTGATGGCCAAGAGAGAAGGGTCTGGGACTCTGACGGTCAGGGCTTCTTGATGTTTGGAGAAATCAATGATTAAACTTAGATAGAAGGAAACTGGACACAGGTCTTCACATTAGAACCCCTCCTCCCCACATAGTAGACCAGAGATTCTCAAACTGTGGTCAGTCATCACTTCTTTGTGTCAGAATCCACCAGTGGTGTTTTTCAAACAGATTCTAGGGTACCATCCAGATCTGGCTAGCTCAATCTTTAGGCCCAGGTGATTCTCTTTCACTCAGATGTGGGAGAACCATTGTCATAGACAGATAGGTTTGGATGGCATGCTAGAAGACGGGAAGGGGTGCAGATGGGGGGAGGGACTGGGGTTGACTTGGCTGCAGAAGTGAATGGGATTAATGCAAATGTTAAGGGCCTGGAGGCTTTTCTGAGAAGACCTTATGGGCCCTGCTGTTGAGCTGGGCCGGCAGTGAATTAGAACCAGAATCCAGGGTGATCTTGACCACCTCTGTGGCTACTCCAGAGGAGGGGCAGATTCCAAGCCAATTCTCTTCTCCATGCTAGAGGGGCATAGGTCCTTGTTGACCTAGGTTAAGCAAGGATCCAGGCTTGGCTGACCTAATTTATTGTTTTTGTTCCTTTCCTGTTTGCTTTCTCACTTCCGCTCTGAGGGGAAAATACAGTTCCAGTCCCATCAGGAGGGGAAGAAGCCAGCTGTTTCCAGGATGCACAACTGGAGTGGGGGTGGAGCAGTGGACATTGGATAGGAAACAGTTCCAGCCCCTATTTCCCTCTAGCCACAGTTGATGAAGTCATTACCGGGGGCAACAATATCGACTTCCGGGAAGATGGACTGTATGGTCTGTCGGAGCAGCTGGTAGCCTAGGGCCTTGTCATCAGAGGGGCTGATGGGCAGGGGGTCAAAGGCTCTCAACACATGCAGCTGGACTCGATCATCAGCCACAATGTTCTTCACAAGTTCTAGGACCTCCGGGTGGAAACAAAGGGAGTTAGATTTCTTAGTTATCTGCTCTCCCAACTACCATATGAATTTAAATACTCTTGATTTTTCTCCAGCAAGTCAGACCCCTGGGGTTTACAGGGGAATTTTTTTGGTTTTTTTTAGGGCTTGTACCTTAATTTCAACTGCCTAGCTGTAGGTGATAGAAGAGCCAGGACTTTGGGCTGGCCGAGTGGCTCAAGTGGTAGAGTGCTGCCTAGCAAGTGTGAGGCCCTGAGTTCAAAGCCCAAGTATTGCAAAAAAAAAAAAAAACCAAAAAAAAAAAAAAAAAAAAAAGAGCTAGACCTTCCCTGAAAGCAATCTACAGCATGGTAAGTTTACATGTTTGGAAGGCTTGTCTTATAGCCAGGAGTCAGATGGGGAATTGGATAATCAGGAAATCATGCCTCTTTTCTTTGGGTTGTGAGCCATGGGCTGGGTGAAAGTATAAAAGAGATAGTAGAATGGGAATTTCAACTATCTTGAAGCAAGGGGATGATCCTGCTCCATCCTGAGAGTCTCAGACAGGTGAGAGGGCCAGGCACTTTTCTTTGCTTCCTGTTTGTAACCAACCACACTGGAGCTGGGAAGATGAGTGCAGCATACACAAAAAGTCAGGAGTGGGGGTACTGATATTCAAGTTTTCTCTCTTTGCCTCCTTTCCTCAGGAAGGAACCTAAGGAAACACCTACAAAATTCAATCTGAGATGACTAGAGGGAATTGAGCAAAATCTCTGATCCCAGGAAGGATGCAGACCAGACCTTGAGGATTAGGTCACATGTATGAATGGACCTGGTGGTCCCCCAAACCCATTCAGCTACCTGAGGAAAGTCTAGCACTAGTCTTAACCCATTTGATTGGTAGTTCCCTTAAAACAGCTTCTACACTAGAAAGAGGGAGAGTCCCACAGCTGGGGATCACACTCGATTTGGGCAACATCCCACAGTACCTGTTAAGAGGGGCCATGTCCCCTAGAAGCATGTTAGGAGCTGAGTCTGGAGGGGAGTGATGATTCCCACTTCTGGTGCAGCAATTGCCATTTGAGTCAAAGCAAATTCCTTGCACATGGCAGGCAAGGCTCTACCACTTAGGCTTTGCCTCCAGCCTTTTGTTTTGTATCTTTTGTGTTTTGCTCATTAACTTTTGCATGAGCTGACCTTGAACTCAAAATCAGCCTGCCTCTGCCTTTTTGTTATTTTTTGAATAGGTCTAGAGTTTATGCCTAGGCTAACCTGAATGGAGATCCTCCTATTTATGCTTTCCATGTAGCTGGGATGACACTCACATGCTACCACACTCAGCTTTTATTGGTTGAGATGGAATCTCCTGAACTTTTTGCCTGGGCTGGCTCCAAACCACAATTCTCTGGGATTTTCAACTCTCTGGCTCCTGCCTATCTTGATACATTTTTGACCTTATGAAAGGTTCCTTAAACTATTTGCTATGAAATAGGTTGAGATTTTGCCCACTGCCCCCTGCCTCAAATTACTTTGATGTTCCTGCCTTTAGAAATTGAAGAGAGTACACAGATTGGATTCCCTCAGCAAGAGGACAGTTTGCTCACCAGCTGTTAGGCCAGGTGCTGATTCAAGGGCAATGACTGTGTCTATCTCATTTCTGTATTTTCATTATCAAGCACATGAAAGACATGTAATAAATGTTGGACACATGGGCTATAAAAGATGTGAATCAATAAAAATGACAATAGATGTCTCATTAAATAACTTGTCCAGGGTTATATAGCTAGTACTGCTAGGGCCTGGGTATCCACTGATTTCACAAGGACAATGTACAACTGCCTCCTCAGTACACATAGGTGAGGTGCTAAGGAGAACCAGAAAGAAGGTGTTCATCTGAGATGGATGTCTTAACAGTATGGATTTTGAGCTTGAGTTAAAAGGAAGGATATGAAAGCAATGGAGAAGAAGCAAGAGATATTCTGAGCATGCACAAAAATTGAAGCATAGCAACAAACTTTGTGCCTTGGAAATCCCGCATAGTTGTGTGATCATGGGTGAGCTCCTTGACCTCTCTGTGCTTCAGCTTGCTCATCTGTTAACATGTCATGAGATTATTCTCAGTGTTTCCAATGCATCTAGTACCATATTACATCCTGTGGAGTATATACAATATGAAAAAAAGGAGAAGGGTTAAGAGTTACAGGAAGCCAGGTCTCAGTTCATCATAAGGAAGACATTCATAGGCAAGTTGCTCAAAAATGGGATGGAGGCAGGGGTTGTAGCTTAGTGGCAGAGCATTTGTCTAGTATGCACAGGGTGCTGGGTTCAATCCCCAGCAATGTCAAAACAAAAGGGAATATCTATCTATCTATCCCTGTCATGGGTCTTCTAGTGAGCAGCTTAGCAAGACAGAAGCTGACTTGCTAATTCTAAAAACCTGACTCACCCCTACCCCCTCAGTAGTGGGGTTTGAACTCATGGCCTCATGCTTGCTAGGCAGGCACTCTCCTGCTTGAACCACTCCTCCAGTCCCCGCCCCCAGCTTTTTATGTTGGGTATTTCTGAGATAGGGTCTCATGAACTATTTGCCCAGGCTGGTTTTGAACTGCAATTCTCCTGATCTCTGCCTCCTGAGTAGCTAGGATTGTAGGTGTGCACTACCAGTGCCTGGCCTGACTGATTTTTATTTTTACGTATCCATTGCCTTCAACAAATACACTATTCCCATGAGAGGAAATCTTTACACATAAAAACAGAGACCAACACAAGGTTGTGGGAATGTGTTAGAAGGACTGTAGATTCAGAATTGAAAGGTCAATGTGGTCTAAAGTAACCTCTGAACTCTCACCATTGATGGTCCCTCCTCCTGGTCTCCTTCTTGTATCTCTGATTATTGCCAAGGCAGTCACTGCTCTACAAACAGACAAATAACAGCTGGCGTTCCTTTTTTTTTTTTTTTTTTTAACCATACTGGGGTTTGAACTGGGCTGCATGCTTGCTAGGCAGGTGCTCTGCCACTTGAGCCACTCCTCCAGCACAACTTTTAAAAGATTTTTTTTGCACTTTTTTAAAAGATTTTTTTTGAGACAGAGTCTTATTTTGTATCCCAAGCTGCCCTTGAACTTGAGGTCTTCCTTCCTCAGCCTTCCTAGTGCTAGAATTACAGGATATGCCACCACACTTGGCTAAAATCCAGCATTTATTGAGTGCTTGCTATGTGCCAGGCACTGGCTTAAGGACTTACATATAGACTCCAGTAACTGTCACAATCACTTTATGAGGCGGGTGCTAATATTGACCCCATGGAGTTCTTGCTGCCTGGATATATTCTCAGTCAGGCTATTTCTCTGGTCTCAATGAAAATGACCCTTCAGAGAGGGCTTCACTGATCCTTGTATTTAACTCAGCCCACTTGCCCAACTCCACCCCACAATCACTCTGTGACATAGCATCCTATTATTTTCTTTTATGTTATTTATCACTTAAAAATCTCCTCGTTCATCTATTTGATTACTTGCTTACTGCTGTCTCTTCTCATTAGAACACACTGTTAGAATAGGAATACGTCTCGTTCACCACTCTCTCAAGTACATAGAAGAATGTTTAGTCCACAGTAAGTAGCCCCTCAGGAGATTCTTGGTGAATGAATAAATGATGGAAGAACTCTTCTCCACAGCACTCAAACTGAGCCCTTTTAGTGATGAGGACCTCATTACCATGTAAGACTGTCTTCAAGGGATGTTCCTTGAATCCTCTCCCAATGATCTTCTTTCTACTGTTTAAGGCCCATTCAGAATAATGGTAGTCTGTTACATTTCTGAAGACTTTTTTTTTGGTGGGACTGGGGTTTGAACTCAGTGCTTCATGCTTACAAATCAGGCACTCTACACTTGAGCCACATCTCCAGTCCATTTTGCTTTGGTTATTTTGGAGATGGGGTTTCACTAATTATTTGCTGCCCTTGAACTGAGATCCTTCTGGTCTCAGTCTCCCAAGTAGCTAGAATTACAGCCATGGGCTGCTGGCACTCAGCTTTTTTTTTTTTTTTTTCTTTGGTGGGACTGGGGTTTGAACTTAGGGTGCTTACAAAGCAGGTGCTCTACTGCTTGAGCTATACCCAGTCCAAATTTCTGAACACTCTTATTCTTCACGGATAGGTGAAGACAGGTGATGAGGGCCTATCTACATCTGTAGCATGATAGAGAGCAGGACTGCTTGAGCTCCTGCTGATCCCGCATGAAGCTCTGAGCATGCTGGGGCAATAGGGAGAGGAGTGACCAAGGAAGAATGGGGCCTGTGAGCATTCTGTTTGACAGAGGCTTTCCATTCCTCACGGGGGCAGGTGGGCAGGGGGGCCTAGGAATTCAAGGGGTGTCATCAGCTAGACCAGGAGGGAAAGCCTCTGTGGAGGGGAGAAGAGAGGAAGGAAGAATGCCAAGGACCTGGGGAGATAAAAGCCCAGCTGGTTGGAAAACAGTCCTTGGAAAGGGCATTGAGTTGGAATGAGGCTGGAAAAAACTGGTGGAAAGAAGCTCAGAGGGGGAACTTAGTGATTTCCTGGCCCCATGAGCCCTTAGGGAGAGGACAGATTGATATCTGATGAAAAGCAGCAGCGCCCCGAGCTTACACTGGTCCCAGATCCCCTTCTCCCCAAGGCAGGGTAGCTCTGAGCAGGCCAGGAACCTACTCACTCCCTGATGTGTGATGAGGAGTATGCCTTCCTCCCTGTGTGGAGATGGATGAATCCTCCATGGGAAGAACTTTGAGAAAGGATCACAGAAGTCTAAGTGTGTCAGATCCATGATAATCTCGGCCAGACCTGCCCCTAACTAACCCTGCTGTATTCAGGAATATATTATCTATCTGATTACTGTTGGGTTGCCTTTTTGGTGAATTTTTGAAGGAACAGGTTCACTTTTTTTTTTTTTTTGTAGTGCTGGGAATCAATCCAAGGGCCTTGCGTATACTAAATGAGCACTGTACCTCTGAGCTACGTTCCTAGCCCCAAGTTTGCCTTTGGAGTTCTTTCTAAATGTTAAATGTTTAAAGAAATTTCCTACGGATGTCAAACATTGTATATAACTTCTGCTTACCCTTTAATTTTCAGCTCAATGTCACTATCTCAGAGAAGACTTGCCTGACTCTCAGAGGAGGTCTCGTTCCTTGTTATATTCACTAATAAAAACCAAAAACCTTTTTATCATAGCATGCAGGGCTAACTCTAGAGGTTCCAATTATGTTAAAACACTCCAGTTTGTACCTCTACAATTGCCTATTTATATATTAGAAGCTTCTCAAACTTCTTCTAATTTCCTATAAATATATTATAAGCTTTTCAAACTTTCTTCTTCTTCTTCTTCTTCTCTTTCTCCTCCTCCTTCTTCTTCTGTGCTGAGATCAAACTGAGAGCTCATTCATACTACCCAAGAATTCTATCACTGAGCTATACCCCAGTTAAGAGACATCCTTTTTAAAAAGTTTCTTTTCTTTTTTTCTTTTTTGCAGTACTGGGGTTTGAAATCAGGATTTTGTGCTTTCTAGCTAAGTGCTCTGTGAAGTGCCAAGCTACCAGCCCTTCTTCTTCTTCTTTTTTTTTTTTAGAAAAAAACCAAAACACAAAAAACCAACTGGGGTCTCACTGAGGAGTGCTTGAACTCCTGGGTTCAAGCAATCCTCCTGCCTCAGCCTTCCAAGAAGCTTAGGCTATAGGCACATGCCACTATGCCGTCTGAAACTTCTAAATCATTGTATTTCTCCTGGACCTTGCTGTCTTCTCAAATTCCTAATCTTAGTCAAAGACATTAGCACCTCATCAACTACCTGGGAAAAAACCTTGCAGCCATCCTGCCTTTCACTCAGTGCACATGCATAAATATATACCTTATCCCACTGAACACTTCTCTCAGGTGAGTGAACCTTCTTCATCCCACAACCCTGGTCTCAGTTCTGACCTTCATATTAACTACCTGAAATGCTGCAATAGCCTCCTAACCATCTCTTTTTACTCTAGCACCTCCTTGGTATCACTACCAACACTATCTCCTTAACAGCAAATCTGTCTATCATGACACTCTGAAAGTTCTCTCCTGCCCAGAGTCCTCAGCATGGCATACAAGACCTTGATCCCCAAGCTACAACTCTTATCTCCCATCACTTCCCAATTTATCCTATGCTTAAGCCACAATGATTAAAGTCCTAATGGTCCTATAAGGCCCAGCTCAAATTTCTAGCCATTAGAAGAGACTGTTTTGACCCTCTGAGGTAGCATCAGTCCCTTTCTTTGCAGTGGTCCTATTGTGATTTATTCACCCCTAATTGTTATACTAATATTACTGTGTGGAGTTGTGGCTGGAAGCTAGACCACTAGATGTGCAGTCTGAGTATACTGTAACTGCTCTGTTGCTCTGGGCCTCCTAGTGAATGATGATAATGCAGCTCCTACCTCATAGGGTGGATGTGAGGGCTAAATAAGTATGTGCATATTTGTGTGTACACCTTAGAATGGTGTTAAACACAGAGCAAGCCCACTATGTATATTTGCTACTATTACTATTACTTATTCATACTTGCCTCCCACCCTACACTCCCAAACTAGAGATCTTCAGTTCCAGCCAGGGATCTGGTGCATAGGATACCTTTGAAAAATGGCCTAGGATTGAAAAATCTTTAGGATTATAGCTAAGCCCTGGTCCTGATGGCCCTGCCTCTTTGATCCCAAACAATTGTCTGGAACATATGGCACATACCTCATGGACTGTTTGTGCAGGGTGAATCCGGAAGTTGACTGAGGCCTGGGCAACTGGGGGGATGACATTCACCTATAGGGAGAGAACCATAAGCCTTACCTGAGCCCATCTCAGTCTTCCACAGATGACCCCTGCCCAGGAAACATCAAGTACCTCCAGGAGTGGCAGAGAAAGCTGCTTTGATCTGAGGACCCTGGGTTTAAACATTATTCTGTCCTTGTCTTATCTGGTCCCTTGATTTGTGGTTATAGTTAGGCTAGAAGTATCTCTGCTTTAGGCTAGATCTTTGTGTTTCTTTGTCCTGGAGGGGTTGCCAAGTTGCACCAGACTAGTCTGTTTTGGCTCTGTGCTGTGCCAATGGGAGCCTTCTGTGTGCACTTTCCCAGGGTACCCTGGACATTTCTGTTACCAGTGCTTAACTCAGGGCAGAACACCAGAGCCTCATGGATCCCCAACAGACTTTGTTTGAACTCTGTGCGGATGACATGATGGTGATGCTGGTTTTTCACATCCACTTGGAAAATCTGACTCTGTTCTTTGCCTGGCCAGGAAGAATCCAGGACTAATTGGAGAAGACAGTCAAGCTATGGAGGGATTTTTCCTTGGAGGACTGGAAAGCATAGATTCCCCAACTGCACATCTTTCTTTGAGCTGGTAAGTTGCCAAAAAACACTAGACTAGGACCGGTGAGCTGGGCTGTGTGATTTTGAATAACTGTAACCTCTGTGCCTCTGTTTTCTCAACTGGTAATTGTATCAGTGCTACTCACAGGGCTCTTAGAAGGACCAAGAGGAATGACAAATATGAAAGCATGACTGGGGAGAAAAACACCATTCAAATTCAAGGACACAGTACCACTATGTTGATGAGCACTACAGGCAGCTGGTGAAGATAGCTCAGGTCAGGTTACAGACTGAACACACCAGTTAGTTATGCCAGGAATTAATTCTGAGGCACCATTCACTTATATCTAACTTGGGCTCCAGATTACCAGAGCTCCTCAAGGTCACACTGTACTCCGTACAAATGGCGCCCCCTGAAGTGCTGGCAGTACTGACGGTTGTTAAGAGTGCTCTCCAAGATTTCAGAAAGTTCTATGCCTTTTTGTGGCCAGGCTTGGTCCTTTCAAGAGAGATGTCCCTTAACGACCAATCCAAAGGAAAGACTAGTTTACTGAAAAGAAATTCTTGGAATAAAAGCTTATCAAATTATTGAGTCACATGAACTTATTTCTAGAAGAGTAAACCTCATATAGGAATTATGTTTGCTATGGCTGCCTGTAGATTTTGGGAAAAGATAGTGTGGTACATATTATGCATATCATAGATTTTATAAATGGCAAGTGAGTTTCTCTCTCAATTTAGAGTGATACCAGGAGAAAATACATTAATTCCTTGTTAAATTAGGTAGATCTTTTAAAACATGGGAATGATGTTAAAAAAGATCTTTGATGGTAGAAAGGTTAGAAACCTTTAGACTACATGACCAAAGTACTAGGTAAATATAAAACATGTTGAATTGTAGCCATAGCATAGGTCACAAGATCCAGCTCCCAAATAACCCCTCTTCACATTAGTGTTATGGTAGTTTGAGAAGAGGGAATTCCTCTCAAGTTCCTTGGACGCCCACACTTAAATATACATAGGTAAAATTTGACCAATTTCAGAGGGTTTGTAGACCTTGGTTAGACCTCTTGCTCTTGGGGTTTACCCAACTCATGAAAGAGGACAGTGACACAGGAGAGCATTGGTCCTTACTATTACTCAAACTGTAGTCAGAGAAGTAAGAAAAAGCCATAGAGAAAGTCAAGGGATGGAGGGTTGAGTGGGCAGTGAGAAAAAGGTGATGTTACCTTGACCCCTGCGTTGAACATGGTGAGAGCCGTGGTGGTCCTGACCAGTGTATTGGTTATGTAATTTCTCTCCATTAGCCTAAAGCAAAGGGACTGAGGTCAGATGTTAGGAAGAACTATCCAATAGGTAGAAAGAAAAGATTGGAAATTCACTCCGTTTCTTAAACCTTAGAGATCTTTAAGACTGAGAGAACTAGCCTATATATGAATTAGATGTAGCATCTATGGTTGAGGGATGATTAATCAGGCTCAAGTTGGCCAAGGAGAGGGGATTGGGGGTAGGTAGGATTGGGGTGGGGGATTTGGAGGAAGGAAAGGCAATACTTTACCTGCTGACAAGGGGCCGAAATAGCCACAGATTTTTCAAGACTATATTGGTAGGAAAGGGAAACTGGAAGGGAAAGAACAAGGTTATCAGGATCAGAGTAGCCAGCACAATAGGACAGGTCACTGAGGCCTGGGTTTCTCTATTTAGGCCTGCCTCTGGGCCCTTAGTGTTCAGGAGTGCATCTGAATTCAGTTGGCTCATTCTGTGCTGGAGGGTGAGGCAAGATTTATCTGGCTGGGCTTAGCTGATTGGTTAGCAACCTCAAGGACGAGTGGGAATCAGCAACTAAAGGGTAACTAGGTATGTTAGGTCTTAGGGTCTCAGACACTCCCAGAAGCCCTAGGGAGCAAGCCAGATCTCTCAGTCTTGGCTCAGTCATTGGCTGGGAATAGGTGGAATGGGCAGAATACTGGCCAGCACTGGGCCCATTTCATTACTCTAAAGAGTCCTTCTTGCCACACTTTTGTTCCTCTTCTACAGCTGGACAGGAGTACGTAATCCTCCTCCCATACCTCATTTGCCAGTTGCTCCAGTGTCATCTTCAGTGGCCCACTTCCGAACATGTTCGGCATTGGTGTGTTCTCCAGGCTGGAAGAGAAATGGACGGTCTCAAGACCCACCCACCCCAGCCTGAAGAGGAAGAGGGAAATAGGTGGAAGTTTCAACAAACCTGGTCAGGGGGTCTGTCATTCATTTCCACATTGCCTTACCAGCCCAGCTATTCTGAAAACCTCAAAGCACTGTCAGGAACACTTCTACTCCCCCAGTAGGAGGTTCCCCTATACACCAAGTCCAAATCAGGGTCCCTTTCTGCTCCTTCCCTGCTGTTTTTCTCTGGCATCCTGTGTGTCTGTTCTCATAGTACCTACCACACTGCAACAGAACTGTCCCTCTCCTCCACCAGCTGTGATTTCCTGGGGGCAGGGCACAAAGCCTTGACCATAGTAGCTATTCACTCAATATCTGATGAATGTGTAGTTCTCCTTCCCCCTTTGCTGAGAAAACTCAGACACAGGTGAGTACTGCTCTTGCACTGCCTGCTGTGATCACACATAGCCAGTAGCCATTATTTATCTTTGTTCTCCTGCCAGAGAAGGCAGAGAATTTACACAGCCAACATGTAATTTCTAACTGCTTAATTGGACTCTGGACTACCCACTCCCTGATCTAGCTTTTGCTTCCTGGATCCCACTTGCTCTGTGGATGTACTGACGGATTGTCTAACCCCAGCCCTTGCCTGGGTACTGGGGTCTTGTCCCTCCTATAACCTGCATCAAGGCTTCCCATCCAAGCTTTAGGGCAGGAAGCTTACTCCTCAATCACAGAGTGAAAAAGTGCCAGGTCTTCTTCCATCTGAGTCAGACACAGGAGCAGGGCCAGGAGCTGCTTACCGGCTGACAGCGGCTGCAAGGATGCCAATGCTTGTCTCCTTTGGAGGAGCTGAAGAGTGGCCTGGAGTCATGTTTACTTGCAGCAGGAGGTCAAGTGCACCCTTTTCTGTGACTGAAACCCTACAGAAAAGGATCAAAAATGGCCCTTCTGATCTCATCCTGCTTGAATTATTCCAGAGGCCCAGAGATTCATCTGCATGATAGTCTGGTGGGCTGGAAGGTCAATTTTACCCTGCTTTGCAAAATTTACACTAGAGGAGGGAAAGAAGAAGCCCAAGGTAGGTTGAAAACCATGGCAATTAAGGCAACAGGGATAAAATGGAGTTGTTTCAGCATGGCTTACAGATACCAGTTTGGAGTTATCTCAAGTAGGGTAAGAATCCCATCCAAAGTAGAGGATGGGATGCTCTACTCACATGGCACAGGGCTTCTTGAGGTTAGGAATAAAACCATCAAAGATGAAGCTACATTCGTCCACAAGAAAGGCTACCTGGATGCCCCTTGCCTGTAGCAGCTCTGAGATCTTCAGAGCCCCACGTGTTCCTGACACCTGTAGACAACGAACCAAGAGCCATGGTCCTTCTCAGCCAGAAACAGACCTCCAGAAATAGATAATGGAGACTCATTAAGCTTAGAAAGGGGCTCTAGAACCTTGCTTCCTAGTTTTCTTCCTAGGGTGTGGGTAGAGTGGGGCTGGGCCTGAGACAATTCTACTTCATAAACTCTTAAAAGTCAGTTGGAAGGCCCCTCCCCCATTTCACAAATAACTAAACTGGGACTCAGAGAGTAACTTGTCCAGGTTAAAAGTAAGTAGAATTACTGGAAATAAGACACAGGCACTGATGTCTCTGCTAATTTCTCTTTCCATCACACCAATGTTTCTCAAGGTACAGTTGACCTGTTTGCCTCAGATAGAACCAGAGAGTTTGTCAAATATTCAGATCTATGGCAAGGGACCAGGAATCTGAATTTTGGTCATAGTCTATTGACAGTTCTGGCACACAGACACACAGAGAAGTTGCCAAATAACTATTCCACATCACAGAGACCCTATAGCTGGGGAACACACTGGATTAGGGTGAAGCCCCCCTCCATCCCCAGCAGGGGCACCAGAGATAGGTATTGGAGAAACAGCTCTACCTCCTCATCATGGCCCAGAGCAATGAAGAAAGATCTCTGTGGGATGTAGTTCCTGATTAGCAGGAGCTCCAAGGCCTGCAGGATTGCCTAGAGTGCAGAACATGGAAGAAGAGAAAAGATCTTTTTATCTAAGTGGGGTATCACAGACATTGAGCTATTTGCATCAGGGCTGCTGGAACTAGAAGCTGACAGACTCTCTTTAAAAAGAACAAACTCAAGTGGTCTAGGGGGCCAGATGTAAGGGAGTTAACTCTGCATAAAATCTTTGCCACCTGGAGAAAAGCATAAATTTATCAGTGTCAGAGCTGACATTGACAGATTTTCTACCCCAATTCTTACGCAGTTGAGAAATCAAGGTCCAGAAAAAGGAAGTGGCAAACTGATGGCTGGAACCCAGGCTTCCTGGAGCCAAGATTCTTTCAATCATAGCCTCCTTCCTCCCAGAAGCCAGCCAATTACTCCCATCCTAGATTAGTCATCAGCCAAATACTCCCATCCTGGAACCCCAAGGCAGAGAAAACAGTGTTTCAAACCATCACAGAGTTCTTGTTGTCCAGGGTGCCCCGACCATGGATGAAGCCATCACGTTCCAGGCCAGAGAATGGGGGCACCTCCCAGCCTTCCTCAGGGGCAGGCACCACATCAAAATGAGCCAACAGCATGTAGGGCTGTAAGCTAGGGTCTGAGCCTTGGACAGTGAACAGGTGGCTGTACTGTTCCACAACTTCGTGCTGGATAAAGTTGGTGCTAAACACTGTAGGAAATACTAGAGGAAAAATGATAAAAATTAGGAGAGAAAGACAGATAGTATCTTTTGGTCTTCCTGCCATTTCAGGATCCCTAACTTATTTTTTTCCCTTCACATTCATCATTCTTTAAGAGGCCTTCAGAGACAAAGCCTGTTCAATCTTGCAAATTCCTCTTTCTCATATTTTAAAGTGCTGTGTAATAACGTGCAAAGATCCCACCATTAGCTGGCTCATTCTGACCTACAACTTGCTATCAAATGTAGAAACTTTTGCACATGAGGGGTATATTAAATTTTGACTACAGTAGTTCTCAATATCTAAATTACTTGGAATCAAACATGACCTCTCTATAAAAAAATTCTGCCAGGCATAGTGGCATATGCTATGTAATCCCAGCAATCAGGAGGCTGAGGCAGGAGGATCCAGAGTTTAAAGCCGGTCTGGGCTATATAGCAGGATACTGCCTTGCTGGACATGGAGGCTCATGCCTGTAATCCCAGTTACTTGGGAGGCAGAGATAGGATTGTTGTTCAAGACCAACTGGAGTAGAAAATCTAGTGAGACCATATCTGAAAGAACAAGTTAGGTGCAGTGTGGTGCAGGACTGTAATTCCAGTTACATGAGAGGCAGAGGTAGGAGGATCATGGTGTCAGGCTGGCTTAGGGCAAAAAATACAAGACCCTGTCTTAGAAATAACTAAAAGAAAAAAGTGCTGGAAGCATGGCTCAAGTGGTAAACTACCTGCCTAACAAGTAGGAGGCCCTGAGTTCAAAACCCAGTACTGCAGGAAAAAAAAATCAGTTTTCCTTCTAAGAAAATGGCACTCTCACTGTTTGTTTATATGGAGATAAGGGTTACTCTGTGTGGCACAAGGCTACACTTCTGTGTGCAGGTGTGGATGTTCACAGTGTTGATTATTCAGATTTTTGTCAGGCCTTAATACAGGTAACCTTAGATACATGGAGAAATACTTGTATTTCCCCTTGGGCTTTGTTGGAAAACTCCACATACTACTCTGTGGAGATCTGATAACAAAAACCTGAAGAAGAATGTGCTTTTAGCTTGCCACCCAAATTGTTTACTTTATGGTTACTGTACATCATTTCTCTATTTTTTATCAATATTTGGTAAAGACTTCCAGTCTGGCCTTCCAATTTGGTAATTAGGCATCAATCCCACATCCACTTGTCCCAGCATGTTAGAGATGGGCCTACTTGCTGCTCCTAGGCCAGCTTCTCCCACCTCTGACATCTTTAAAGGGGCTGTTAGGGGTATGGGGGGGGGTCCTTACTTCCCATGAGGTTTTCTTAAGGGGATAGGGGGAATTCCATGACTCCTTTTTCTCCTCTGACTCATCCTTTCTACCTCTGTGCTCCATGATGGTGGTGGTGGGAGGGGAGATAAAGGGAGAGGACTGACGTGATAGCTCAAGGTTGTCAACTGCCTAGAGACTTAGCAATGTGGTAAGTAGGTGGAGTGCATGTATGGTATATAGGTGTGTGTATTGAGGTAGGGGTGAGAGGTACGTGGGGCATAGTTCTAAATATTTGCACAGGAGAAGGAATTCCTAGGTCTATCTTTGATTACATAATACTTATTACGTAACATGTATTTAGGACAAAGATTGGTAGTGTTCAAACTCCAACCCAACAGCTATGTGGCTTAGTTCTTCAAAGGGCAAATACAGTCCATAGTCTACCTCTACTTTAAGATTCTCCCCACTAATTACAAACTCAGAAGAGATCCTTGGGAATAGATCGTCTGCTGATCAGTGACAAAATATATTTCTTAATCACCTTGTAAAAGAGCCACGTCTCCACTGCTATCTCTACCACCCTGCACACATTTTGCAGCTGACCTTTGTGAATGTATTCTCCAAACTCAGCCAAAGCTGTGGTGTTGGACTTCTCGTGGTTAAAAGACACTGTTGGAATCCGGATGGCACCTGTCAGAGTTTGAGATGGAAGATTAAAGATGACACAGATTAGGGCATTCCTATTTAAAAAAATCTGAAACCCTAGCTGGGCATGCTGTATACACCTGAACCAGTACTAGAGAAGCTGAAGTAGGAAGAGGATAGTCAGTTTTAAGCCAGTCTGGGCTATTGGCTAGTTTGAGGCCAGCCTTCGGCTAAATAGTAAGTCAATGTCTCAAAAACCAAAACCAAAACCAAAACCAAGCCAAAACAAAGAACAGCTACTACAAAAAAGATTCTCTCACACAAGTTCTTCAGTCCTGAAAACCTCTCATCCTCCCTACACCCATGTTTTAGTGGCTTTCCTTTACATCTTGCCTTTACAGACTGGAAGGGTTCCATGAACACAGTGAGTCATGACTACATTTGACTAAACAGCTATCTAAGAACACCGGAAACAAATTCAATTGGAGCAGTTCCATGTCGGTATAGGGCCTCTGAAAGACACACTGATTTCTGTGTTTAGTTTTGCTATAGCATCACAGCTCACCACATAGGTGAGGAATCCGAGGTCCAAAAGATCCTACTGCCTACTCATCCAAGATCTGAACTCAGGTGTTGTGCACTGGACGAAAAGTTCTAAGGTCCAGACACTAGGTTCTTCTCAAACTTTTGCATCGGGACTCAGAGACTTTCGGAGGAATATTTATCTATGCACTGGGAAAGCTCTTCTCAGGCCAGTACAATCCACCTCCAACCACAGACATTGGCATTTGGTCCCTGAATCTGCCTGCACATGTTTACGTAGGCAGTTTCCCCTTAGTTCACTATTAATGAAAGAGAAAAAAGCTGGAGCTAAGCCCAATGGCGAGGAAGCAGCTCATTATCCCACAGGATCTAGAACTCAGCAGAAACTTTCCTCTCTTGGAAAACGCAGATTCAGAAGATGAATGAGCAGAGGTGGGCGGGGGGACCCAGCTTCACCTTTCAGCGCCTCTTTCATAGCGACGCGCTCCTCTTCGCTGAACTGGGAAGGGATTCGCGAAGCCCCCTGAAACTCCTTGCCCCTTAGGCCCTTGGCGCTGAAGACAGTGGCGAAAATTAGCAGCAACTCAGCAGCCGCCAGGGCGAGCCCGCAAACGTACCACCGAGCCATGCTTCTCTGAAGTCGCAGCTGCGGGTCTCAGCCGGAGTACGGACCCAAGCATCCAGACCAGACCACTTGCCTTTCTAGTCACTGACCTCGTTCCCGCGATCCGCATTAGCCCCGCCCATTACCACACCTGACCAGTCATCGCTGGGCTAGGGCTGCGGAACAACCAATCGACGGGATAGCCCCGCCTCAGTGCCGCAAGGCCTTCTGGGGGTTGTGGTTTGTTTCTCTGTTGCAGGCCTGTGTCAAGCACAGACCAAGTAGGGTGCCCGAGGCAAGGGTTAGATCTTGTTGCACTTGATCCTCTGCTTTGAGATACTGGTAAATCGTTAGGTGTATGAGAAAAAAAATCCAATTAAAGGGAAATGGCTGGGGAGGGGAGGGGAGGAGCCAAATAAAATGAACAAAGCTTTTAAAACCTTATAACGTGTTTCTGGCTCCTTCTGAAGTTTAGGTTTTGACTCTCGGTCTTAGGTTGGGTGGGGAAGCTCTGTGGGTTCTGAGCTTGATTTCATCTGAAATTGGAACAGAATTGCTCCATTTATAGATACTGCTTTTCAAATACCAGTTCAGATGGCTTGCTCCTGTTTAGGAATGTCGTTGAAATGATTAACATGGTATTTTTGCTACGCAACCAAATTACACTGACCGAAGGTTTCTCAGGATATTGTAAAAATATTTATGAAAACTAATGTACAGTAATTGTCTCCCTCCTCCCAAGTGACCCTTATTACTTAATAATGATAAGCACAAGAGTAGTTATACTAGCAATTTAGATATGCTAAATTCCTTTGGGTGAAAAGGTGAAAGTTCTTGACTAAATAAACAAAGAAAAAAATTGTATCCTGAAGTTGTTAAAATCTATATTAAGAATGAACCTTCTATCTGTGGAGCTATGAAGAAGGAAAAAGAACTTCATGCTAGTTTTGCTGTCAGGGATGAATCTGAAATTTAAAAAACTCTAAATACTTCAAAATCCAAGACTTTTCAAAGCATCAACATGACACCATATATGGAAAATTCTACACTTGACCTCATGTGACAGGTCTCAGTCAAAACATAGGGGCACTAAACATATTGTATAAAGTCACCTTCACATCCTGGAATGGTGGGATTCAGTGCATGCTACTTGGGAGTCAGGAGGATCAAATTTGAGGCTAACCTGAGCAACCTAGTGACCCTCTGTTGCAATTTTCTTTTCTTTTCTTTTTTTTTTTTTTGTGGGACTGGGACTTGAGGTTTGAACCCAGGGCTTCAAGCTCACAGAGCAGGCACCCCACCACTTAAGCCATATCTCCAGTCCCTCAATTTTTTTTAAAAGAACTGGCAGTGTAGTTCAGAGGTAGAGTACCTTATCTTGCATGTGCAAGGCCCTGAGTTCAATCCTCAGGATTCCTTTCCCCCCAAAAAGATTTACCTTCAGGATATGAGTATAAGGTGGATATGAGACATAAATGAATTTGTGTTTAACTTGGTATACTATGAGACATCTCATCCCTAAGTGTTTCTTGTTCTAGACAGTGGAAGTACTGGGTTGCAGTTTCTGTTCAACTTTATAAGACAATGTTGAATTATTTTCCCAAAGTGACAGAAGATAGTACATAGTATATGACTTCCTCTTGCTCCATTTTTTTTACCAGCTCTTGGCAATTTCAGATGTCTTGATTTTGCCCATCTAGTGGTTGGCAAATGATATCTCATTTTGGTATTAATTTGTGTTTCCTAGAACAAAGTAAGCATCTTTTCACATGCTTGTTTGCCATTAATGTTTCTGCAGTAAAATGACTGTTAAACCTTTTAGAACATATTATATGAGTTTAGAGAACAGTACATATACTATATATGACATATCTAGGAGTATACATACAAATATATGAGGAATAATAATAATAGAAGCAGTAGTAAGATTAATATAGAGATAGAATATAATGGATATATAGAATAAGATAAGAATATAAATATAAGAATTAAAATTAAATAACAACAACACACAACAAAAAGGGAAGAGAACACATAATATATATAATACGAGAAAAAAATAAATTAATAAATAAATTAGAGCTGAGTCTCGCTGCCAGAGTGAACCAGTCACATTCAGAAGATAAGAACATGAGATCAGAGGGCTCTGACCTAATCAATGGATTAATTCACTGATGCATTCATAATTTGATGGCATTGTTGGGATGATGGAAACTTTCAGAGGTGAGGCCTAATCAGAGGAAATAGTCCTTGGGGGCTATACCTTGTCCTGGGCCTCTCTCTTTCTCTGTTCCTGGCTCTTTCTTTCTCTCTGTCCTTTCTTCCATGAGATGAACAGCTCTGCTAGGCCACATCCTTCCTTCTGCCATGATGTTCTGTCTCACCACAGGCCCAGAAACAATGGAGTCAGTTGATTATGGAGTGTCCTTCCTCCTTTTAAATGGTTTCTCTCAGGTATTTGTCACGCAACAACAACAACAAAAACCCTGACTAACAAAGTGGCAAATATTTCTTTCTTTGACTTGTAGTTTCACTTTTTAGATAGCCTTTTGATGGATTAAAGTCTTAATGTGATTGGATTTACTGTTATTTTAGGGTTAGTACTCTCTGTTTTCTTGCTTAATAAACCTTTGTCTATTTCAAGGGTATAATGTATTTTGATATACTATCTTTTAAAACTTTCACCTTTTACATTAAGTTCTTTTTTTTTTTACATTAAAGTTCTTGATACATCTGGAATTGACCTTTTGTATATGGTATAAAGTCATGGTCCAATTTATTTTTTTTCCAACTAGATAACCAATTTTTTGAGCACCATTCATTAAATCCTTTCTCCAGTTGCAATGCCAACTCTGTAATTTACTGGTTTTCATATGAATGGGTCTATTATTGAGCTCTAATTATTTCGCTGATTGCTATGCTAATATGACTATTTTAGCTTTAAAATCTGTCTTAATATCTAGTAAAGCATGTTTCTTCTTTAATTGGTTAGTGTACTGAATTACATTAATAAGTTTCAAAGATGTGAACCACCCTTATATTCCTGGAATAAGCTATATTTGGATAAACACACTGCTGGATTTTCCTTTAGGGTTTTTGTTGTTGTTGTTATTGTTTTGTGATGCTGGGCCTTGAACTCAGGACCTACACCTTGAGCCATTTCACCAGCCCTTTTTTTGTGGTAGGTTTTTTTTTGAGATAGGGTCTTCCGTACTATTTTCCTGGGCTGGCTTTGAACCATGATCCTCTGGATCTCTGCCTCCTGAATAGCTAGGATTACAGGTGTGAGCCACTGAGGCCTGGCTACCCTTAGGGTTTTTACAGTTTTGCTTGTCAGCTTGATTGGCCTAGAATTTTTCTTTTTCATATGATCCTTGTTTGGATTTAGTGTCAAGTGTACAGCAGCTACAGACATGCAATTGGGGAATGCAGTAGAGATTTCTGGCTGCCCTCAAAATCCATTTTTGCCCTCAATATCCATTTTCTTTTCTTTTGGGTGGTACTGGAATTTGAACTCAGGGACTTACACTTGCTAGGCAGGTGCTCTACCACTTGAGCCATGCCCCCAGCACTTTTTGCTTTAGTTTTTTTTTTTTTTTCCAAATAGGGTCTTGCACTTGTGCCTAGACCTTGATCCTCCTATTTACATTCTCTGCATAGCTGGGATGGCAAGTGCACGCCACCATGACCAGCATTTTATTCATGGAGATAGGGTCTTGCTGACTTTTTGTTCTGGCTGGCCTAGAACCACAATCCTCCTGATCTCTGCCTTCTTAGTAGCTAGGATTACAGGTGTGAGCCATGTGCCTGGCTTCTGTCTTGCTCATTTCTCAATATGAACAATCCCAAGTTTTAGCTCAACACAATGATATTCATATTTCCCAGATGGCAGCCAGGTTTTCCCATCTGACTACACTTGAAGAAAGACAGCAGAAGCGCAGGTTGTGACTCAGGGATGTGGCATCTGAGACACTCTTTTTAAATCTTTTTTCCAGAAGTAATGGCTACCCTCCACCAGCTGTGTTGACCCATGATGATGAGATCCCCACAGAGGTGAGGCAGAGGGATGAGCTGGAAGAAGCCTGAGCACTTGGAAGATTCCTGGAACAGCCAAATCAGCTCTGGACTGTGTTCTGTGGACTGTTGAAAAGAGAGAGAGGCAAATTTCTGTCAACCTTTAACCACTAAAGGAGTGACCTTCCTCTCATGTTTTCCTGTTTTCTTTTTGTAGTACTGGTGATCGAACCCTGAGCTTTGAACACGCTAGGCAAGTGCTCTAGCCCTCCCTGAGTTACATCCTTATTCCACACCTCCCTTTTTTGTTTGCTTTTTCTGAAGAGTATGTAAAAGGTTGGACCAAAATTCTAATATATTTTTCCACTAACTCTACAAATAAGATCATCTGAGCTGTGGGAAGTTACACTAGGTTTCACTTACTAGTTATAGGACTTTTCAGGTCTTCTCTTTTCTTTTTGATTCCATTTAGGTAAACTATATTTTATCAGTAATGTATTCATTTTATGTAAGTTTTATAATTTTATTATAGTTACAAGGGTAACTTCTGGAGTCAAACTGGGGTAAAAAATCTTAGCTTTTTTCTTTTTTTGGTGAGACTGGGGTTTGAACTCAGGGCTTCACACTTGCAAAGGGGCAGGCATTCTGCCACTTGAGCTACACCTCCAGTCCATTTTGCTCTTGTTGTTTTGGAGACGAAGTCTCAAGAACTATTCACCTGGGCTGGCCTTGAACTGTTTTCTACCTGACCTTGGCCTCTCAAGTAGCTAAGGATTATAGGCAGGAGCCACCTGAGCTGGCAAATCTTAGTTTCTTCACTTAAATAGCCTTGGGAAACTTTTCCCCTCAGATCTCAGTTACTTTGTCTGTGAAATGGAGATGATAAGAGTGTATATCTCTTGGGGATGTTGGGAAGATAAAATGAGCTGAAATCTGTAAGTACTTGGAAGAGTCCATAGTAACACACTCAATAAATGTAAGCTATACTATTTTTATTTTCTCCTCTCCTTTGCTTTCAGTTTATTTTTCTTTTTCCAACTACCAAAGTGAACATTTGGCATTA